ACACAAATTACACCAATGTTTATAACTCTTATAATCTTCACAATTATTTCAAATCTCTCTCGACTCGTTGGGGAAGTAAACACACAAGAATTACATTTCCAACATCGAAATTTGTACTCATCGATTAGAACCCGATATATATCAACTAATTTAAACTTTATTCAATAAATAAACTTCAATCGTAATGAGATAACGTGAAACTAAACTTCGATGTATGAATAAAAAGCCAAGGTTATTTGCCGCAGGCGGGATTCTCGACATCGGCCGACGATTTTCCATCGATGTTTCTGCAGAACGCGTGTTTACCACCCCCGCCCCCGGAGAAAAGAAAAAGCGAAGGATGTGATCGCAAGGAGAGAAACGAGGACAGCGGGAGTAGGGAGCGGATGGGAGAGAAAAGAAGAGCGAAAAGAGGCGACATAAACACGAGGGGTTGCGAAAACTGCCAAGTAGGTTATCCGTAGCAACCTTCGTGGTGGAACACGAATTGAGTGGCAAGTTCCTCAAGCTCGTTGGAAACACGCGCACTTCCTTTGCATTGTTTTTTTTTTTTTTTTTTTTTTTTTTTTTTTTTTTTGACTTCCTACTCTCGCGCTCCAGTTTTTCTCGTGAGAGAAAAGTGTACGTTAATATCGCGAAACTATTTGGTGGCAAAAAGATTAATTTAAGACTTAAGTCCGGTGTGTGTGTGTGTGTGGGTTGTGTGTGTGTGTGTGTGTGTGTGTGTGCGCGTGTGTACTTACCTCTAGTGCGGAGATTAGGCACAGGAATATAATAACTGGATAACGACGAGGGGACGATCACCAGCGAGACTAACACTTAGCACCACCACCATCCACGTCGCGACGACGATAACGACGACGGCGACGTCAACAACGGGGCGGGATTATAACCTCGCTTGCCTCCACCAAACGACCCCTCGGGATTTTAAAGCTCTTCTGACGGCTCTTCCGCGCGTAAAGAGCGTCGTGGACACCCTTCCGCTCCGTTTTCCTGTTCTTTCGGTAAGTCGTGACGCGCCGAGTTCATCGAGGACTCAAATCGCATCCCTCGACAGAGGCGAATCCGCGGTCGGGAGTCGCGAAAGAGAACGCGCTCGAGCGCCGTGACGCGCACGTCGACGACGTCGATGAGGAGCGCACAGCGAGAGTAGACGAGAACACAGCTCTCTCTCGCCAACCACCACCGACACCGCCCTCGCGCCTCCTCGCCGCGCATCGGGCGCGGCAGAAACGCGCCGTCGCGACGCCGTTTCGCCAAGGCGCAGACGCCTCTCGACGGGACGCAACATTGTAATGTGTGTACAGTTTGATGCAGCTTTGGTGACGTTGCGCAGTTCACACCCCCAATGGTTTAATTTCTTCAACAATATTTAGAAACATATCTTTTTGTTTATTAGAAATGTTTTAAAGAAAGAAGAATAGAAGGGAGAAGAGACGGTCTGCTTTACACGCACAAAGAACAAGAGATTTGTCAGTTGTAATGTCATTACTTCGTACACACGAAAACTTCGACCTGTACCTGATGGTTTTTTTTTTTTTGCAATTTATTAAAGCATGGTCAACTTTTCTTCTTACGCTTGTTGAGTAATGTTTGACAAAAACGCGATTGGCTCTTTTTCTTCAGATTATTATTACGTGAAACATACGAATATGAGCGTGAAAACCGCCATTAATACATATCACTGTACGTTTCTGCGCGCGGGTTTGGTCCACTTCGGACTGCGATAACGACCAACGGGGGTGCCTTTACCTTTACATTAGATAAGAGGTAGTTACACCCTGGCCGCTTTCCAGCAACGTACACGTAAATGACACGGTGGTATTACTGGTATTCTCTCTCGCACCCCCCGAACGTTTCAACAGTGTCCGCAACGCACAGAAAAAAATCTAAGCACGAGCGTGTAAAGTATTGCAGGGGTTTAAGTATCAGGAGAAGATAATATATTGAATACAAGAACAATTTATAATTGCTTTAATGATGCATTACTTAAATGGTATTCACATAAATGTTGAGTATTTGAGAAATAAATAATTTTATAACTTTATAATTGCACATAAATGCGTTAAGAAATAATTTTATACTTAAAATGATACGTATTGACAAATTAGTGCAATGTGCGCATGCGCCGAGTTAAGCTCGGAATTGTTCGAACACAAGTATTTTACACGAACGTCAAAAATAGTTTTAAAAAAAAAAATCCTAATCGGAAAATAACTCTTTATCTGAGTTGGATGAAGAAGTAAATATATATATATCGTAAATATAAATCGGGATTTCTCCGAAATAGTAGTATAGGTCAATGACTGCAGCTTCTTTTTGTGCGCGTGTGTTGTCTCTCGTGTTATTGCAAACTTTGTAACTACAAATATTATGATAACAAAGTTGGTAACTACAAATATTATGATAACACAGTTGGTTATCGATAAGTAAGAGATATACGTGTGTATAAAATGTACCAAACTTTAAAATTTTGTTCATACTTTAGTCGCTTTTCGAGTAACCTAAATGTTATCGAGGTTTTGGTTCGTAAAAACCAATGTTCTGAAATTGTACTGAGAAATTTATTGTGGATTTTTGAGCGTATTCTTTTACATGTGATTTTTTTTCGAAATATGTGACTTGATATTAGTATAAATCGTTCTCACAAAAAGCACGGACGGATCAAAGGGATCACGGAAGATCACGGATTTATTTTGTCACGTTCAACCTGAATGAATCATTGAAATGGAGAAATTGCGCGAAGCATGAGGGATTAGTTACAGAAATGAATGAAATTTTTTTTTTTTTAATTAAACATCTGCCTTTTACATGTTTCATAAATTATTTTTATGTAAATCTTCTTTTGTAGAATAAGATAGAGGAACATTGTTAAATCTCTAATGCGAAAAAGAGACAATTTATGATTATAGTAACTGGATTATATATAGTAATAAATTATACACTAATGCAATCACATTTGTATGCGTTAAAATGATCACAATGAGAAAAACAAAAGCGCAGAAGAAAAAAGATATTACATTTTCCATCTCTTTTTTCTTAGTTTTCAAAACGTGCCGCCGCGTAATTTAGAAAGAAACATATAATAAGAAAAAAGATGCGAAGTTTAGATGGCACACAAATCTCGATTTAGAACTTTGTAAAACTGTTTGAAGCAGTTATTCGGTCGCAAACTTATTTTTGGTGCAACACACACACACGCGCGCGCGCGCGCGCGTGAATACCGCGTGATTTTACTTTGACAATCTTGACATTCTTTGTCTAATTTTTGCACCCCGCCAAAAGTTTGTTGTTAAACTTCAAAGTTTAATCAGAAACATGATTTTGTCTGTGTCAAATCGTACGTTTAATTGGATAAGTTCGGAAAACCAGCCGGGACAGAATAGTTTTGAATAGTTTGGGTTGAATGGTAACAGTGTCATTGTAAAAGTGACATCGTCACCTTGTTTTCACTTTGATTCACAATCCCGGAGATCTTTTACAACACGTTAAACAGAAGAAGAAAACGAGAGGCACAGAAGAACTCTTTTTCTCAGACAATGCAGATTCAATTAAAGTTCCCGTTTCAATATGAGAAACTTTTCCAATCAAACCGGTACGTGTCGAACGTTTTTTTTTTTTTTGGTTTTTTGTTTTCGCTCTTTCGTCCTCGGAATTTTTTTTCGACCGTCTTTCGGAGCAAAGATCCAAGACCTTAAAGCGTTCAAACAGTAATTACGTCGGTATCAATTCAGAAGGTTTTGACGTACGTCCGCTTGTGGGACACCGAATAATTGACGAAGGAAACTAACACACACACAGCGAGTTCTTTCTCCTCAGATAAGAACAAAACGTTTCCCTTGTCATATATGTGAAATCCCAGGATTAATAAATTAAAACACACTTATACGCACAGTTTTATTTGGCAAAAAAACTCGAACAAAAATCACTTTCTCTCGTTTATTCTTTTGCAATGTCAACAAAAACTCGCACGTGATTTTTCGCAATAACTCGGTAAGATTGATTTGATAAAGTTTAAAACACGCGTTCGCATTACCGCAATTAAAATCGCGCATTTTCGCAATTTTTTTTTGACATTACGAAAAGATTTCACCGACAAATGTTTTCTTTTTATTTACGACAGCAGCTCTTCGCCTGTCTCTTTCCATTTCTCTCTCTCTCTCTCTCTCTCTCTCTCTCTCTCTCTCTCTCTCTCTCTCTCTCTTTCTCTTGTCTCACAACTATCGCTTTAATGTTCATTCTCGTCGAGTTCGTTTCCACGGCAGCCCGTGGCGATGGATCAAACTGTTTAACTCGCTCGAAAGAATCGCGGAGAGCCGCAGAGTTTGATCGTTTCTATGCTTTTTTTTCGTGCTTGTGCGATACATCATGTCAAGATCAATGTGTGTGTGTGCGCGCGTGTACGTGACATTCGCGCGCATCTGCGCAAAAATATTTTTGTTTATTCATAACGCGCTTTAAAAATATACGTAGTAGTAAACACGTGGTACATTTCTAATATTTGTTAGGTGCGTCATCTCGAGCAATGATCAAACGCGCGGTTTCTTTGTTGTCAACTGCAATATCGACTTATTGTTATTACAAAAGAAGCGAGAATGTATAAACATTCTCTGTAAAAATAGAAATATATAACGTGCAAACAAATTCGTGTCGATGCAAAGACATGTGTAGCGGAATAATTTTTCCGTTGGATCGTTATTTACATATAGAAACGAGCTAATTATTTGCGCTAATTTTTGCGCGTTTCTCTCTGTTTTCATTATTATTTTTCCGATAATGCAGATTTTTCACAGAAAATCAATTTTTATTGAATTATTTTTCAAATAAATCGTCCGTGAACAATCGTTTGCTGATGCGCCTTTGTTTTACGGCAAGAATGTAGCGGTGTTATTATTCAGAACGTACCCAGCGAACGAAACAGCGAAGCTGTATAAGCCTCCCTTCGCGTTGCGTTCGGAAATCGCACTACACGAAGTCGAAGTGAATCTGAACGCAACACGGATATACGTGTGATAAATTGATTCATCAGGACGGATACAGAGAGCGGCATGATGTATTCTTGTCCGTCGGACACGTTTAACTTCGAGTTCGCTGAATGTTTAATATAAAAATATTGAATAGAATATCTCCTACACGCGCGGCATCCCAGCGTATAACTTTCAGCTTTATTCTATCGCACAAGACAACTCGCATTGTGAAATATTTACGCTTCTTGCCGAGAGACAATATCCAAGTTGCTCTCGTACTGTTTATTTTCGAGTCCGCGCGTGTCTGGCTTGTCAACGAAACCGGCAAGACTCTCGAGCGAAGCCATAAATCGGTTTGTCGGAATACGAGAAAAGATGAAAGCCGAGAGTCCCACGAATTTCCCGCAGGATGTACGCGAGATTGTTCTGGCGGCTCTGGTGGAATGCGAGAACTCATTAGCCGTTTATCAGAATATTCTGAAGCAACAGTCGACGGCGGGAAAGAACGTCCTTTCCGAAATTGGGTACGTTATTTCGTGCGAATACGCGCGCATTTAAAACCGACAAAGTAAAATGACATTACAACAGTCCGCGTTGTCTTTGTATATTTCAATCGCAGGGAAGCGATGATCCCCCGGTCATTTACTGGAGACGTCGCGGAGATGACTTGTTCGCGGAAGGAAGCTGCGTTTGAAAAGCTTCGGCAAGACAGGTTTACTTATTGTTTTACTCGTTTGTGCTGTCTATTGCAAGAACAATATATGAGTGCAAAAATTTAAGTGTAAAACAAAACGTACAATAAAACTAACGTAATTTCTCAATTTTGGTATCGGGCTTCAACATGAATTAATGTCAGTGTCAAACTAAACTAGCAATTTTATAAATAATATTTATAACGCGTTGTTTCGTTACTTTTATTTGTTCCGTTCTATTTGTAATTGTAAATAATTACAATTATATCATACAAGATGTAATAACGTTAGAGAACTTCAAAATTACGCGTGTGTGTTTGTGAGAAAACTCTTTAGCCACATAACCACCACTTAATATAGATCTGTGTTGCGTAAACTCGACCACAAGTAATTCACGCCGATATCGAGGAATGTCGATTAACGTTGCAGCTTGTATGTGAGCGGTATAATAAGAGACTTGAAGCGGGAAATTAGCGAACGGGGAACTATCGAGGTATTAGTTAAGGAGATCGAGAGAATCACGTTGCGCGAGAAGCAGGAACGCCTTTTAACGGAAGAGAACAATCGGATGCGGGCAATTGTGGCGGAGCTACGAAAAGCGATCGCCGAAAAGAAAACATCGAACGAGAGGGAGGAGGATCGTTTAACGCGGAAGCTCACTTTGATACGGGTATAAAATACAAATGTGTCGAAGAGAAAGAGCAATATAGTTACACGATATCTACTCGACTCGCTGTTCGGATTTTTTTAAGCATTTTTGAATTTTTACGTAGAATTTTAGAATGTTATATTAATAATTAGAGAGAAAGAGATAGAGTAAATTTGGAATAAATTTAAGTTTATATGAACAAAATCATATATTTCTATAAAAAAGAGAGAACAAAAAATTTTAATGACACTTTTCTAGCTCAGATATGGTTTGTTGTTTAAATATCTCTAAAAAAAAACAAAACAATTTGTATAACAATTTTTTTTCAGTAAAAAAAAACTACCTACAAGCTTTCTAGGTTTTTGAGATTTGTTTTATATAGTAAAAAGTTTGAAGTCTTTTTTCTAATTTTTTTCTCGACAAAAATAATCTTTAAAAAAATCTTCTCTAGGTTTTCTTAAGTTTTCTACACACACATACACAGTAAAAAAAAAAATGTTAATTTTAACATTTTTTGCATGTCCCAGGAGGTCCACTCTAAATTTTAAGTTAAAACAACTTATTCGTTGTGAGTCACTTATTGACAAACTAGTAAAGTTAAATAATTGACACAATACTTTACATTTATATTTGTTATTTTGACTGTAAGCGTGATGTAAAAATAACATATAAAATAATTAAAACTGCACAAAACAATAGTTACAGTAACTCGTAAGAAATGTTAATAAAACATTTTAGTTTGTACAATGTGGCCAAAGATTTGAAAAATTTTTTCAGTGTGTTAAATTGACTTTGAAACATCTAGATTAATTGAAATCATTGTGTTAAAAGCACTTAAACAATATTCCATTTTTAAATGACATGCAAAAAATGTTAATTTGTGAAGTTAACATAAATTTGACACGTGAAAAGATTAAAAAAATAATAACATATCAGTATTATGTTAATTTTACATTGAAGTAATAATCAAAACGTCGTAACACAAGAAAAGTTCTACATTTTGACGCACAATTTTTTACTGTGTACACTCCATCTTATATAGAATACATATATATCACGTGCACACGTGCGCGTAACGCACGTAATGATCAATCTCTCCAAAGTTGTAACGTTATTTGTTATGTGTATCAGGCCGTGTTGAAATTTGTTGGCAAAATTATTTTAGGACGAGAAGAAGAGACTGAAACTAATTAAGAATGTAGAGATGAGATACGTCCAAGCGTGGGAGAAGACACGTCGCGAGCAGAACGTACTACGTTACGAGTTGGAGATGGACGAGTTGGAGAAGACTTTGAATAATTGTTATGTACACGAGAAAAGCGAAAATCGCGTGAATGGCGAATTGACTCGTTATCTGACTCAACGTATAGCAGTTAGTACAAACTGTTTCTTACATATACACAACTTGTTTGTTTTAAAATAAGTAAAACTCTTATGAGAGAAGAGCAGTGTAATATTAAAATAATTGAGATTTAAAAACCGTTCATCGTTAAATACACCGTTTAAGTGACATCGTGTAAATTTTGCATCAAAGAGGTCTCAAAAAACACTTTTGAAGAAGTTTTCTTTTTAATTTCGGGAGTTTCGCTGTTTCTATCTGAAATTTTCAGATTCAGGCAAACGTTAAGTGATTCATGTCTGTGAAATTTGCAGAACGTCAAATAATTTGTTCGCGAAATTTTAATAAATTTCTATGACACAGATAAGAAAGTTCTAGACGAGGCACATTCTCACAAAGATAACAACAATATTTGCTTTGAATTTACAGCTCATTGAGAATCGAATTGAGCAGTGGCAATGGAGGTACGATCGGGAGAGAGAAATGTATGAGAAAGAGATCGACAAAGTGCGCAAAGAGATAGAAGACGCTCGGAAATACTTGGAGGAGCTTACAACGGAGGTAATAATTCGAAAACTACAGGGAAATATTTTCGTTTCATTAATACGGGAAACGAACGCTTCGCGACGAACGGGTGGCGGTGCAACAATTTGAATAATTCAATTTGCATTTGCCGCCGCTCCGTTGTTTCGGACGCGCCGCCCGCAACGTTATTGCAAATCTTTAATTGGCGAATAAAGAAGATCACTAGCGCAATGATACAACAAGCGCAATCACGGTTCTTATTTCACATTCTCTCTGTGACTACTTGATTTATCCTAGTGCTCTCTCTCTCTCTCTCTCTTATTCTTTGCCGTAAGCCTATTGACAATCAAGCTACTACTTAATAAGAATAACTTGAGGTCGGGCAAGTTTAAAGAGCTTACCGAAGTTTCTTCAGCTGATCGATAATTCGCGTCAGAACCATGTTCAAGAAACGTTTCGGCGATTATTATTAATAGGTGGATTTTATGAATTTCCTGAACTTTTCTGAAATTCTTTCGAGATATTTCGATGACACATTTAAACGAGACAAGAACTACTGAATGATCATCATATCTGTGTAGATTTTTTATTTATATAAAATACGTAGCGCGCGGAAATTCATATAATAGATGATCAAAACTTGAATTAGCAAAAACTACAAAAAATGTATTTTTCATAGGTATTTTCTATTTGTTTTTAAACAGAAAATAGTTCTTTCTTTATGTGCATACACACACCTACATTTAATGTTGAAAATGTTCAAATATTGTACTTTGGACATTAATAAACACAATGTATGCATTAGTTTATCAATTTTATTGTATCAGCAATATCTTACAAAATTCTTTAACAAATCTGTATACGCTTTTAATCGATATCATGAATTAATGAACTTTCCGTTATTGTTTATTGTACGCGATCGCCGTGTAAATCTCTAGTAATCTCGTACACATATATAAGACGTACTTATTTCCAAGGAGACAAGGGAGATCCAATAAAGTATGTAAACTCATCTTGAAACTTATTCTGCGTTCGTTACAGTATCGCAATAATCAAGAATTCATCGACATGTATCTCGCCGAGCAGGAGGAACTTCGACGACAGAAAGAGCACGAGAATCACTTGCATCGCAGCGCGATCAAGGTGCAAGCCTGGTGGCGAGGTGTCATGGTACGCCGGAAGTTGGGACCGTATCGACCTGACGAGAAAAAGAAGAAGCGGCCTGTTAAGACCAAGAAATAACTCAATCCTACTTCTGGCCGAACGTCGCCTCTAATTTGTTCGACCTGACTAGTCGGACGATTATTACTTTACCGGCGATTCAATCTAAATTCACAGCTGATTAACTGATTTGTCATGTCGTAATAGTATCAATCTCGAAATGCGAACATCAGAGAACATCAAAAACGTGTCAGAATTATTTTTCATTCAGTTCAAACAAAGTAAATTGCACGGAGATATCGTAGGTGGCGAGATTTTTTAGAAACTTTTTTTATTATATTGTTCCATTCGGAAAAACGATTTTTTACTTTACGCGAACGGGTGTGTAAGTAAACGAAATACTTAATTGTACTTTCGAGACAAATTTAACTTTCGTGAAAATACAAATCTTTTTATGGTTAAAAACAAAGTGTTATTCCAAAAGTGTGTTATGTCCTATATTACCATATATTTTCGGAATCTTCGAGAATATACTACTATTGTAGTATATTATGTTTGTTGTATATGTTTTTTTTTATATTGCTTTTATATAATTCCAATAAAAATTTTCTACTTTTGTTATTTTTATTATCACGTTTTATAAAATAAACTTGTACTTTTTACTTATCAACATTAGAAAACTAAAATTCCAAAAATGTACTACATATTTTATTTTCTTTTTACTCAACTTATTACAAAAGAGAGACGTTACTCTACTTATTATTGCGTCTATATTTTACTAAAATTACATTAATAAAAAACAAAAGAAAAGAGATGCCAACAGCACACGGTGTTCCCAGGCGGTCACCCATCCAAGTACTAACCGTGCTCGACGTTGCTTGACTTCGGTGATCAGACGAGAACCGGTATTAGACTCAACGTGATTTGACCGTTGCCGAAAGTGTCTTTCTCGTGTCACGTAATAAACTAGTTTTTCTACATAATATATATAAGTTTGTAATTAATATATACATAAACAAATNAAGTTCTGGAATGTCGGATTAATAATTAAGTTCAATGTCGGAGAAGTATCTATATACTCACACACAAACATTAAAGAGATATTTTGACAAAAAAACATGATTTTTGTACATTTTTTTGTACACAAATACAAAATCAGTACTAGTAATTTTTATTGCCTTGAAATTAAAATATTAAATAAAAAAATCTTATTTTTAAAGAATCTTTCAGGCTCTAAAGTTTCTAAACTAAGGAATGTATAAACGGTCATGTGAGCCGTTCGCTAGATGTAATGCGGTTTTTAATTTTTAAACACATTTACAATAAATACTTTATAAATATTATTAAAACTATAACTTGCTAACTGCATCTTATAGATTGCACGTTTGCAGGAGCTATCTAATCTGCTAACACAATTGGAATTCAAGATAACGTCGTTACGATACAATGATAACGTTACTAATAAAGCGTTTTCTATTATAAAAAGAGTCAATTTTTTCAATTTATCTCGATAGTGTTCAATGTTGTACAGATACTGCACAATTATTCTTGCTATAGCTTTGAAATGGAAAGTTATATTGTTTCTGTAGATGTAATACAGACAGACTACTGCAGATGGCGCATGATAGCATGNTTAGTGGCGNTTTAAGTGCATAGNATATATTTGCTGCGTTCAGCAGAACAAGCCGTNTTGAGCGCNATTGGCGCTTACTTTTANAACCTTNAAATCAANGTCGCGTATTGGCAAGACGATAACTCAGCAATTGTTCTGCTGAACACATTGGATCTGCGATTTTTTTAGACTTCCCGCCTTGAGTCGTCACTTTGTTCTTCCGCTGGACGCAAAGCGACGACTTTTGCCTTCATTTAATAAGGTAAAGTATTTCAAGTATTGAAATTTATATTGCCTAGCTCTTAAAAGTAAAGAAACAAACTTCTTAAAAAAGTTTGTAGATTTCTATTTGAGTTTATATCAAATTTTATACAATTGTATACACCTATAAAAAGTAATAAGCTCTAAAAGAAGTAAAAACTAACTTTGTCATTAATTTGCTTTACCATTTGCTCTACATGTGTATGCAAAATTATAGATGTTTTTAAATCTACGATTGCAAGAGTTACTACATATGATTCTTATACCCGTTAAAAACTGCTTTTTTTTTGTTTGTCATCGCGTAATAATTAGAAACGCGAAAGAAATTACAGCGCTAAATTTTGAATTTTTTTAACATTGATACATAAGTATTGTATTTTTTTTATTTAAAAGAAATATTTTGTTTACTTTTAGTTGTAACTTCTAGTTTAATCTCTTAAACGAAGTGATATTATCTTCACTTAATTTTTTATTTAATTCACGCAGAATTTTGCATGCAGTATTGTATCCATACCCGATAGAGTGAAGATACTAGAAATATATAACNAAAACAACAATGGATTATTATTCAGGTCGTCTTTTTTTTACTACTTTTATGTTTTATAAATAATTAATTTTTATGTTTTATACAATATGTATTACAAATAATGTATTTTATCTAATCTAAGATTTGATTTACGCAAACAATTTTTTTGCCGAGTGATTGTTAAAACCGCTATGATATAATAACTGCTTGTGTGTACATAAGTATCGCTTCTGTCCTCTCGCTTCTTATAAAATAATCGCTCTGCAACAAAACCGTCAGAAACAATAAAACATTTTTATGTATAAGTGATGAATACACGAGCGATTATTTTATTGCTTGTAACGTTTTCAAAAACGGCTTTGTGAAAAAATCGCTTGTATATTGTAAGCCTGAGACACGATATGTGGTATGTGAATAGATCTGGTAAATAAACTTATATTTTATCATATTTAACAAAATTTGGCATCCAATTCCGAGTAGATCTATTTTCAAATATGCATTTAGTTAATATTACTACAGTTTAAATGACAATTTTATATCTAATGCATTAAATAGATCTGCTCGAGAGTTGCTTGTAACGATAGTTTTAAAAAGCGATGTTTTGTAACAGTCTTAAAATTAACAAATTTTGTATTTAATCTGTTTTAACGACGAAATGTTTTGCGAGCATTTGACGAAAGTCTATTCTCTCGACAGACTCTAGCGACAATGAAACATCTAGACAAAACACCGAATCATCTTTAAGAAGTGCATCTTCTGTCCCATCGGTACGTCTTTTTGATTTTATAATAGTACAAATGTTTATATTACAAATTCCGTTTAAAAATGAATATGTTTTTTTATACACTATGATTAGAGTGGAATACTTCAGGTACACTCAAGTATATTTTCAACTCGTTATGGGATTCCTTTTAATATCTACAAAAATGCAGTATATATTAGCACTTCAGCGGAACAGTTTACACAATATATGGCTATTGCTATACTTCAAAAACAAGATTTTGAAATAATCCGTGAAGAAATGGAAAAACGTGGAAAACGGAAAACTCTAACTCAGGAACAAATCGGTCGTATTTGTAGAAAATTGAGCAATTCCAATTCATTCTCGAAATTGAGAGGTTTTTCATCTTATTTTTGTTTTTAATTTACATTAATAGTAACACAAAATGTTTAATTAACATATCTTCGTAATACAATAGGTTTTAATTTTTCTTTCAGCATGCGTGGAGTATTGGATGCGAACTGAGATGAAATGGAATGACGAATGGTTTCTTTCTCATCAAATCAATCGTATTATAGAATATGTTAACAATCTGTTAAAAAAAAAGTTTAAAAACCGAGAGGAAAGAGGTGTGATGCCAGAACCATCAAACGGGTACATATTTACTTCAAATACATGTTACTAGTACCATTTGTATTTTATATAATTGTTGTTTTATTTATATAACAAAAACAGATACATTGTCACCGGTGACTCGGGTGACAATGTATCCCCCAGAAGAAATGGAATACTGCTGGCGACAACGTCGCGTACCTTCGCAATTCGTCAAGAGATGTTTCTCCCCGATTTACAATGTAAATACGCTTTATTTTTTCTGAGAATCTAGAGAGAAAATAAAATTGTATGAAGAGCGACTCAAGGAACTAGTGGTTCGGCCGTTGGTCCGCAAGATAGTGAACCGCGGTTGAAAGATAGGCAGCGTCTACGGATATAGAGTTGTTTTCTTTTTAAGTTTTATGCCGCGAAAATTGTAAGCGCGTTTTGTTTTCGTTCATTTTATAACAATTATTTATGTTGTTTGGTCAAAAGATACGTATATATTAACCGTACTTATCTTGTTCCCGTTCTTTAGGTCATATATATAGTACTCAAGGATCTATATTTTGGTGTTTGTTCAGTTTTTGAGAAAACTGTTTCTACTAACTTTATATTATAAATTAAGCATTTCTACTCACGGGACTCAAGAGGTCGATTCTGTATCCATGCAATGTAGGGAAAATTACAAAAAGTAAGCAAATTTACTAGTTATTGAGCTATAAAAGTATAGATATTTTAGTAAATTCGTTCACTTTTGTAATTTTCACTACACTGCGTGATCCAGAGTCGACCCTCAGTTGTAACAGTCACTAGAGTGACAAGAAACACGCCGCAAGCACCTAAGACGTTCGTTTAGTCATCGAGTTGTCATGTTTTACATTTTAAAGTTTTGGATTCATTGTTTTTGTTTAGTCAATTCAAACAAAGTGAATTGCACGGAGACAATGTAGATGGCAAAATTTTTTCGCAAAGTTTTATTATATTGTTCTGTTCGAAAAAATGATTTTTTACTTTACGCGAACGTGTGCGTGAGTAAAAGAAATACTTAATTGAAATTTTAATTCTGCTGTAGATCGTGCCGATCGTTATAGCATCTTCAATCCTTCGTTTGCAATGGTAAGGACCAAGCAAACTGCTCGCAAATCTATCGGAGAAAAGGCTCCTCGCAAACAACTGGCGACAAAGGCAGCTCGTAAAAGTGCGCCTGCAACTGGAGGCGTAAAGAAACCTCACCGATATTGTTCTAAAACTGTGGCGCATTATCCTTACCAGAAGTGCACCAAATTACTGATCGAGACGCTGCCGTTCCAACGATTGGTTCGTAAGATTGCTCGCAATTTCAAGATCAATATATGCTTCGAAAGTGCAGCTATAGCGGCTTTGCAAGAAGCGAGTGAAAATTATCTCGTCGGTCTCTTTAACCGTTTTAGTGCCACGCAGCGCGATCGCGCTGTTCGCGTGCTGTAAGAAACTGTATCGCGATGTTCGATCGCGATCGGCAGTTAGCAACGCTCTCGGTTTGGAGTGTACCTTGTCGCGAGTCTGTCAGACTTCCCTCTCGTAATTATTAAAAAAT